GAGAGAGAGAGAGAGAGAGAGAGAGAGAGAGAGAGAGAGAGAGAGAGAGAGTTGTGTGTGCGTGTGTGTGTGTGAGAGAGAGAGAGAGAGAGAGAGGCACAAGGAGGAGGAGCAACAGGAGGAGGAGGAGGAGGAGGAGGAGGAAGGGGGGGGCGGGCAAGGAGGAGGAGGGCGGGGGGGTGAGGAGCTAGCAGCAACAGGAAGAGGAGGAAGAAAAGACGATAGAGGGATTAGGGAATGAACGATGGCAGGTGTGGTTGAGCCCATCAAGTGGCCGGGGAAGTCTCAACTGACTCGCGCATGGCTTAGGGAGTTGATGAGCAAGTTGGATGCTGCCACGAGATCGATGCCACCGGATGAACTCAGACTCGTTCTTCCCGCCCAAGTTGTTGAAGAGATCTTATCTGCCGCATCTAAGACCATGGCCGCCGAACCAAACCTTGTGGACATCCGTGTCACTGAGTACACGCAGGTACTTTCTTCCTCTCTCTCTCTCTCTCTCTCTCTCTCTCTCTCTGTCCCTCTCTCTCTGTCTCTCTCTGTCTCTCTCTCTGTGTCTTTCTGTCTTTCTGTCTTTCTGTCTTTCTCAGTCTTTCTCTGTCTTTCTCTGTCCCCCCCCCCTCCTCCTCTCTCTCTCTCTGTGTTATTGTGATTTTGCCTGCCTGGCTACCCTCTTCTCCTTTACCTCTCTTCTCTGCCTGCCTACCTCTTTCTTCCTACCAGACCCGCCGAGTTCAGTCGAACAGAACGCCTGCTCGTTATCGGTGTATCTAGACTCAAAGTTGCCCCAAGTACAGTGGTAACGATCGGGAGCTCTATTCTGGGGAAGACCGTAGTGGCATCCTTATCAGCGTGTTCTTCCTGCCCAGTTCTTCTTCATCCTTTCTATTCCTCCATAATCCCTGATTTTTTATGCATCCTTTCTAATTTTCCCTACCCCTTGATTTCGCATCCTTACCCCTTTGGTAGCTCCTCTCTCTTTCTCCCTTCTCCCTGGTTTTGCATGCTTACCCCTTTGGTAGCTCCTCTCTTACTCTCTTTCTCCCTTTCTCCTTTCTCCTTTCTCTCTCACGTTTTCTGTCCTCTCCTCTCTCCCTCTTACCTCCCTCTGTTTGGCTCTCTCTCCTCTTCTCTTCCTTCCTCCATTCCTTCCTTTTTACGTCTGTTTCTCTCTCTCTGTGTTTTCTCTCTTCCCGCTTTTCGCGGCTGCTGTCTCCTGCCATCTTTAATTGTTGGCCCAAGCTCCCTGCCCAGGAGGTGGACTTCTCTGCTCCCGCCAAATTTACTTCTGGCCTCCAGCTTCCTCCCACCAACTCCCGCCAATTCTTTTCGTTCTCGTCCTCAGCTCCCGCCAATTGTTTTCGTTCTCGTCCTCAGCTCCCGCCAATTCTTTTCGTTCTCGTCCTCGGCTCCCGCCAATTCTTTTAGTTATCGACCTCAGCTCCCGCCAACTTACCTCGTGTCCCAACCGCAGCTTCCTCCCCGGGGGGCAGATCCCACTAGCAAAGAGGATTGGATTTGACGCCTGAATCGGGACGTGCTTATGGACAGATGCAGAAATCGTGATGGACCTGCATCTCTCCACAAACTCGTCCAGATTCAGGCGCTGAATCCAATCCTCTTTGCAAGTGGGATCTCGCCCCAGGTGGTTTTGGGCTGATGGTTGTTTGTTTCGTTTGCTCTGTCCTTTGCCTGTTCTCTTCTGTGTTCTTTTTTTTTGTTTTTTAACCGCTTATCCTCTCTACCGTCCTCCCCCGAACATAACGCACCTAAAAATGAATGTATACAAGCTATATTTCCGGCCAGATACAGCCAAAATAAGGCTGCGTTGTGTTCGGGGAAAGACGGTAGTAATCCCCGCCCCCGTTATGTCGAAGGGACAAACGGAAATACCAAGAAAAGGACAAACGGAGGTGAGCGGAAGACGAAAAGGGGCCACCGTTTGTGACCGTTAACCGATGTCGGAGATCGGTTTCTGATTGGTGGGGATGAGCGCCTCGCTCCACTGCACATCAGACTAATAATTGTATCTGGACCGTAAACCGTTCGATGAACCCAAATGTGTATCTGGTCGAGAACACTGTCCAAATACGTTTCCAATATTGAGCAATGGAGCGTTAACCGATTTTGGGCATAAGCGTCTCGCTCCACTGTAATTGTATCTGGACCGTATAACGTTCGATCGACCCAAATGTGTATCTGGTCGACCACTCTGTCCAGGTACGTTTCGAATGTTGAGCAGCGGAGCGTTAACCGATTTCGACCATCGGTTTCTGATTGGTGGGGGGATGAGGGGCCTCGCTCCACTGCACATTATACGAAATGTATCTGGACTGTAAACCGTTCGATCAGCCCGTCTGGTCGACCAGTCTGTCCAGGTACGTTTCGAATGTTGAGCAGTGGAGCAAGGCTCTATCATATGGAACGATAGAGATGAGGGTGCGTCCACTGGATTTGGCTGCATTCTTGATTGATTTGCGAAAACGTTTTTTTTTTTTTTTTTTTTTTGCTTCTGATCAGGACCAGACGGGATATATACGGAATTTCCCCCCCCTTCTCCCCGTCTGTCCTGCTGTGCGCGTGCGTCCGCGCGCACACGCGCTTCTGTGAGTTCGCGCCCGCGTTGTTGCGTTCCATTGGAGGCCGATGGCAGAGTGGAAAGTGGCGAGTTAAAAAAAAAAAAGTGACGAGTTTCTTTTCCCCCAAAAAAAAAGAAAAAGAAGGAAATACTGCCGAGCTTCTCCACTGCCAGGTTTGGACCAAGGCTTGGATCGAACTCGTCGCCGACAGTTACGCACCTGTCATCTCTCTTTCGCTCTCTCTCCCTCTCTCTCTCTCTCTCTCCACCTTTTCCCACTTGCCTCTTTCACTCTCTCTCTCTCTCTCTCTCTCTCTCTCTCTCTGTGGGAAGTAGTGCGGTGCTGTGGCCCCGGGCTGGAGTGAAGATCGGGATGGAGTCGTTGCCGTCTCCTCGCCTCTTCCCTTCCGTCCCCCCTTCTCTCTCTCTGTTTCTCTCTCTCTGTTTCTCACTCTTTTCTGTCTGTTGCTTTGTCTCTATGTTTCTATGTTGGTTTCTCTTTCTGTCATTTCTCTGTCTCTCTGTTTCCTTCTCTTTCTCTTCTCTGTCTGTGCAATAGACAGAAGTAATGGGTTGCAGTGGTGTCAGACTCGAGTGCAGATGGGTATGAAATTGGTGTGGTCGCCTTCTCTCCCTCTCTCTCGCTCTCTCTCTCCTCTCCTTCTCCTGCTTCAGAGTCCTTGATAGCTCAGCCACGTTACGGCTGATTGCTTGTCTCTTTCTGTTTCTCTCTCTACTTCTGTAACCCTCTTCCTCTCTCTCTCTCTCTCTCTCTCTCTCTCTCTCTCTCTCTCTCTCTCTCTCTCTCTCTCTCTCTCTGTGCAGTAGACACGTTATGCGTTGCAGTGCTGTCAGACTTTGAGTGAAGATCCGGAGGAATTTGGTGTGGTCCCCTTCCTCTCCCCTCGTCTCCTTCCGTCTCCCTCTCTCCCTTTCTCCTGCGTCAGAGTCCTTGATCGCCTACCCACGTTAAGGCGTCGTATCTTGTCTCTTTCTCGTTTCTCTCTCTCTTTGTTTTCTCTGTCTCTGTCTCTCTGTGCCCCGCTCTCTCTCTCTCTCTCTGTGCCCCGCTCTCTCTCTCTCTCTCTCTCTCTCTCTCTCTCTCTCTCTCTGTGTGTGTGTGTGTGTGTGTGTGTGTNGTTTTGAGGCTTCTGCTTCGGTCTGGTGTCCAAGCCCACTCTGCTGGATCAAATTCCAAGTCTTGAATCGCCGTATCTATTCTGAAGATTGTTTTGGCCATGAACCCTGCACTCTTACTTCTGTCTCTTATACACATCTAGATGTGTATAAGAGACAGGTGTGTGTGTGTGCAGTGCACAGAAGCAACGCGTTGCAGCGTGTCAAACTGGAGTGAAGATCGGGAGGAAGTTGGTGCGGTCCCCTTCCTCTCTCCCCCTCTCCCTCTCTCTCCCCCTCTCTCTCCCCCTCTCTCTCCCCCTCTCTCTTTCTCCGGATTCAGAGTCGATCGCCCAGCCACGTTGAGGCGTTATTCCTTCTCTCTCTCTCTCTCTCTCTCTCTCTCTCTCTCTCTCTCTCGCTCTCGCTCTCGCTCTCTGCCTCTCTGTGGCTGTGCAATACGCAGAAGTAATTCCTTGCAGCGGTGTCAGGCTGGAGTGAAGATCGGGAGTATTTTAGTGTGGTCCCCTTCCTCTACCCTCCTCTCCTCTCTCCCGCTCTCTTTTTTTCCTGCTTCGCTCAGCCACGTTACGGCGTGATTGCTCGTCTCTCTCTCTCTCTCTCTCTCTCTCTCTCTCTCTCTCTCTCTCTCTCTCTCTCTCTCTGTGTCTCTCTGTCTTTGTGTCTGTCTGTGTAATACACAGAAGCAACGCGTCGCAGCGTCTCAGACTGAAGTTAAAATCGGGAGGAAGTTGGTGTGGTCCTCTTCCTCCCCCCCTCCCCCCTTCTTCCCCTTCTCTCTCTCTTTCTCCTGCTTCAAAGTCCTTTATTGGCCCGCTACGTTAAGGAGTGACTGCTTGTCGAGGTCTGATACGTGCGCATTAAGATTGCCTGAACAGAGCTGGGCGCGATTGAGTGGGCCGCGGATAAGAGGCAACCGATTCCTTTTCTGTGGATTTGACTGGTGCCCAGCCGTGCACGATCTCCGCTCTACCGTCTTATCCCGAAAACAGGTTACGTACCTTGTATACGAATACAAGGGACGGGGTACCTTGTATAACGAATTTTAGGGTGCGGCAAGGGGAAAAAAAGAAAAAAAAGTGTATAGTAAATATTAGCAATAACATAATGAATAGGACGGGGCTGCAACGTGAAGTATTTTGTTTTTTTTGTTTTTTTTGAAGAACACATTGACTGCACTGCGTGCTCACGATCCGGCAACGCTATGTGTGTTTG